TAGTTATTTATATGTTTTTGAATTGGGCTACGTTAATTTGTAAAAGTAACGAATGAAATGTCATTAGTTGTATTTATGTAGTGTTGCTGTAAATATTAAAAAATTTGATTATGGTACGGAACCGAACCCGAACGGTTCTATAATTACAACTGGACCCGACGGGTCCATTTATTAAATACCCGAAAGTTTTGGGTCGGTTCGGATCTCTTCAGAACCGAATCGAACCGACCAACGGACAACCCTAGTTAAATGTTACGATTTTATAAATCATGTGTAGCATTAATTATGCAATAATTAAGGAAGTTTCACTCTGATGCAAATGTCTAAAATATAATCAAAACATTAAAAAAACAAAAATAAATAAAGAACGTGTTACGTAACGGAATTATATCCCGTTTGACACTCATTAATTTCTTATTCTCATTCTCATTTTTATTCATCATCTCAACCACACATTTTCCAAATAAAATAATATTACACACAAATCAAAAACTTTTCATCACTTTCCAACCACACATTCTCACATCAATCTAGAGGTGCCTGGGCCTAGTCAAGATCGGGCTCGGCTCGTTACAAATACCCGAGCTCGGTTCGGCCCACGAGCTCGTGGCTCTTGGGCCGAGCCGAGCTTTAGCTTGTGGTTCGGGTAATTTTTTATTTTTTATTTTATATTAATAAGATAAGCCTTTTTTTTTTAAATGAATTTTTGGTCGAACCCACGTGCCGCTCGTGAAAAAATGAGCCAAGTGGGGCTCGACTCACTTAGTGAGCCCGCCGCTAGGCTCGTGCTCGGGCTTGGGCTCGTAGCTTGGTGGCAACGAGCCGGCTCGGCTCGATTTCCACCGCTACATCAATCACTATTTCAAAATTTCTATTCTCTTCAAAAATAGATTCAAACACAAGTGGAAATGTTAGATTTGACAGAGCTTACTTCCAAGTTCCAACGAGATGGGTGTAATCTGAGCAGAATTATTATTTCAAAACTTTTTATTCTAAATATTCATTTTAATCATATATTCACATAAAATATTTTACACTTAAATTAAAAAAAATTACTACTTTTTAACCCTACATTGTCCAAAAGTTCACCATTTAAAACTTTATTTTTGTCAAATAATGATCATCGAACAACAGCTAATATTCATAAGAAATAATCTCACGTTTGATAGATATTTTTTTTTAAGAATCAGTTTTTGAATACTAAATTTTATAAACTATATGGTTAAAGAGTATGAAAAATATTTAAATCTACGTAAAAAAAATTTTATTGTGAGAATATATGATTGAAAATGAGTATGAAAAAATAAGAGTTTTGAAATAATGATTATCAAACATGAACTAAATATAAAATACACTTAGCATTATTCTTTTATAAATCACGTGTAGCATTAATTATGATGCAAATGTCTAAAATATAATCAAAACATTAAAAAACCAAAAATAAATAAAGAACGTGTTACGTGACGGAATTATATCTCGTTTGACACTCGTTAATTTCTTATTCTCATTTTCATTTTCATTTTTCATCTCAACCACACATTTTTCAAATAAAATAATATTACACACAAATCAAAAAAATTTCATCACTTTCCAACTACACATTCTCACATCAATCTAGAGGTGTCATGAGCCGAGCTTTAGCTTGTGGCTCGAATAAATTTTTATTTATTTTTATATTCGTGGGCCGAGCCGAGCTTTAGCTTGTGGCTCGAATAAATTTTTTTTAATTTTTATATATTAATAAGATAAGCCTTTTTTTTAAATGAATTTTTGGTCGAGCCCACGAGCCGTTCGTGAAAAAACGAGCCGAGTGGGGCTCGACTCACATAGCGAGCCCGCCGCTAGGCTCGGGCTCGTAGCTCGGTGGCAACGAGCCGACTCGACTCGATTTCCATCACTATATCAATCACTATTCCAAAATTTCTATTCTCTTCAAAAATAGATTCAAACACAAGTGGAAATGTTAGATTTGACAGAGCTTACTTCCAAGTTCCAACAAGATGGGTGTCATTTGAGCAGAATTATTATTTCAAAACTTTTTATTCTAAATATTCATTTTAATCATATATTCACAAGATAAAATATTTTACACTTAAATTTAAAAAAATTACTACTTTTTAACCCTACATTGTCCAAAAGTTCACCATTTAAAACTTTATTTTTGTCAAATAATGATCATCGAACAACAGCTAATATTCATAAGAAATAATCTCACGTTTGATAGATATTTTTTTTTTAAGAATCAGTTTTTGAATACTAAATTTTATAAACTATATGGTTAAAGAGTATGAAAAATATTTAAATCTACGTAAAAAAAAATTTTATTGTGAGAATATATGATTGAAAATGAGTATGAAAAAATAAGAGTTTTGAAATAATGGAATAGTTTGTACTTGATTTATATTTTACACGTATTATTTTACAAAATTTTATGATCAATTTTTTTTATTTTAATCAAATGATGCGGAAATAAACGTAATTGGGGTGCTTTATCATAATTTTATGGTGAATCTCAAAAATTTGAATTAAATTTATTATTCATCAATAGACATGTCATTAATACTCAGCATAAATTAAACAGACGAAGCTTTCCATTTAAAAAATATTTTAGACTCATAACAAAATTTGGAAACGTCATAGACTGTGATTGAGAATAAATTTTATTTATTAATAAGTAAAAGAAAGATGAATGTTTTTTTGATATTTTTTAAATATCCGAAATGCAAACTTCTAACAATCAAATGATTTGTTCACACAAGGACAATCACTTATAGTTAGCGTGATTTGGATCTGAGGCGGACGAAGACATTTTGAGTTAGGGGGACACAATCAAACCGTGTACAAATTGAATAATTTGTTTTTGATTTTTGAATGATTCATTTGATTCGAGACAATTGATATTTAAATTTAAAAAATATTTCTTCATTAATTTTTTGCTTATCATTTTCATCAACTTGATTTCGAAGAATCATTTTATTAATATGTTGTTTATCACAAGAAAATGCATATTTACGTTTAAAAATCTTATAATACATTTGATACAAACAATCAATTCAAGTAATGGAGAAAAAAAAACATATAATTAATATTCAATACTAATAATCGATCAAATAAACACAATTCGTTAAATATAAGTCAAATGTGATATAATAAGTTCAGATACATTCTATATACACAGTTTGATAGGAGAAAATGCAAATTTAGGTTCTAATTACTTGAAAATTTGATTAAAAAATGAAGATTTGCAGTAATGTGATAATTTGTAGAGAAATTAAACACAAATTTTAAAAAATTAGAATGGTTAAGATTTTATTAAAATGCGATAGCAAAAGAAAAGAGAAAAATTCAAACTTATTGTAATCTTGTTCATGTTTGGTGAAGATTAAAATCAAATTTTCAGTAAATTTTAATAAAAGTTAAATAGTTATGAATTTCATAAAATATGTTATTAAAATTAATTGTTAACTTTGATTTAGATTGAAATTTAGATTTCAATCGATACCAAATATGAATTTATAGTTAAAAAAAAAAATTCAAAAGTTGGGGGTCACGTGACCCCAGGACCTTCCAGGTCTGCCCCTAATTTGGATGTTTAGCCAATTTCCTCTCAAATTAATTTGGATCGGGATTTGATTACGGGCTTTATCTAAGACTAATAATATTTATGTTTTGGGTTTGCTCCAATCTTGTTAAATAAAAAAAATGGAAAATAAAACAAAATTCTTGTTTAATAATAATAAAAATTAAGTCGTATGATAAAATAAAATAATACTTGAATAGATTAAGGAAACTTACTAAAAGAGTTAAACGCTCTTTTCTATCAATTCATGAGATTTCCATGTGGTTGTCGACTGTTTGTCGAACCACGTTAAATTTATATTTTTCTCTATCTTGCATGTTTTCTTGTGTTTTTCGTTTTCATTTCACTCGATGAA